ATGTCACCCTTGGTAGAGTGCTGTGGCATCACAGCTCACAGCAACCTCAAACTCTTGGGCTTAAGCAATTCTCTTGCCTCAGGCTCCCAAGCAGCTGGGACTACAGGCGCCCGCCACAACACCTGGATATTTTTTGTTGCAGATGTCATTGTTATTTAGCTGGCCTGGGCGAGGTTCAAACCCACCGCCCTTGGTGTATGTGGCTGGTGCTGTAACCACTGCATTGGGCGCTGAGTCAAGAAACAGGAAAATTTTAGCTTAAAATCTTGGCCAGCACCGCAGAGCTCTTGCATCACGATAGTTCACCAGCTCTCACAGCACGGTGAAGGAGTTTTCAGCCTTCAGTAAACAAGTAACTGTATTGGAATGCCCTCCGTACTCACCTGCTCTGGCCCCCAAAGACTTTTTTCTTTACTCAAAGATAAAGGAAATACTGAAAGGAAGACATTTTGATGACATTTAGGACATCAAGGGTAACATAACAACAGTTCTGATGGCCATTCCAGAAAAAGAATTCCAAAATTGCCTTGAAGAGTGGACTAGGCATGAGTGTTGATGCATAGCTTCCCAAGGGGAGTACTTCCAAGATGACTGTAGTGATATTCAGCTATGAGGTATGTAGCACTTTTTTCCTAGGATGAGTTTGAGAACTTAATTGTCAGACCTTGGTATATAATACCGTATTTATGGTATTTGTTTATATAAATATTATATTTATAATTATCTTAATTTTATTACATAATACCTATCACAAGTATTTCTCATGTCCTTAGAATTCCATAGTAAAAGGATTTTTTTCTAGTGTAGTCATTCATCAGGAAAAAAAGTTATTCAGTCATAGGCTGTCATGACAGAAAAGTTAGTATTTGCTTCAGTTGCACTCAGTGGCATTTACCCACTATATCTGTAATCTGTGAATAAAATCTCAGATTCCTGGATTTTGCTTTATTTTACTTTATTTTATTTTTTGAGATAGTATCTCACTTTGTCAACCTTGGTAAAGTGTCATGGTGTCACAGCTCACAGCAACCTCAAACTCCTGGTCTTTATTGATTCTCTTGCCTCAGCCTCCCCAAGTAGCTGGGACTGCAGGTACCCTGCTACCATGCCCAGCTATTTTTAGAGATGAGTCTCACTCTGGCTCAGGCTGGTCTCAAACCTGTGAGCTCAGGCAGTCTACTCACCTCAACCTCCCAAGTGCTGGGATTACAGGTGCAAGCCACCACACCTGGCCTAGATTCCTCGATTTTAAAATGTGCAAACAATAGTGTATTATAAAAGTAGTAGAAGGAAATCATGGGAAAAGCTCAGCTATCAATCATCATATGAATAGGTGATCTTTCTTTCCATCCATTTTATTTTAGATTCTCCATGTGCATGCTGTTTGTACTCAGTTATAAGCATAGTGTAGATTTTTCATTTTGCATATTTTTAACATTATAAGCGTTTCCATTGCTTCATAATTTTTTCAGTGATATATCTAGCAGTTGACATGCAGTGGTTTCCCCGACTCTTTTCCTTTTATGAGACATTAGATTAGAAGGCACTTTGGTGAACACCCTGTGCCTGCCTCCCTTCCTGTTTTCTGGGAGTGGGGGTAAATTAAAATAAATTTTCAGCAGTAGGAATTACTGGATCACAGAACAGAAAAAGAACTCATGGCTGGAGAAATGTATGAGTTAACTTTCCAAAAGAATAGCAACGGCTTTTATTGCCATCAAAAGTGTGCAACTATGTATACTTTTACTATATTCTTGCCAGCACTGATCTTTAAAAATTATTCTTCCATGTGGGTAAGAATGAGTATGTCAGAAGAAATCAAGGTCATATAGGGCCATGGATTGGTACCAGTCTGTGGCCCGTTAGGAACCAGGCCACACAGCAGGAGGTGAGCAGACACAGCTCCATCTGTATTTATAGCTGGTCCTCATTGCTGGCCTGAGCTCTGCCTCCTACCAGACCTGCACCCCCAAAACTACCCCCATCTGTGGAAAAATTGTCTTTTATGAGACTGATCCCTGGTGCCAAAAAGGTTGGGGACCACTATTATAGGAGATTTAATAAAAAACCTTTAAATATATAGGTAGAGACCGTGCAGGAGTATAGTGGTGGCCTCTACTCTTTCCCTACCCCCATGCCACCCACCTGTGTACAGCCTCCAAAGCTCTTCTATAAAACATAGATTGATTATGATGGATTGTCCTGCTTATATAACAATAGCTAACATTTATTGAGCGTTTGTTACATAGCCATAGTTCTAAGTGCTTTGCATGCATTAACTAACCTGTTCCTCATAGCAGCCCTGTGAGGTAGTTAGTGGTGCTGTTATCCCCATTTTTCAAATGATAGACCTTGGGCACCAAGTGGTGATGCTGAAGGACAGTGGTGCCCACAGAAATGAAGGTATTGGGGGCAGGCTAGGATTTGATCCCAGGTATTCACACTTACCCAAGAGGCGATCCCGTTGAAGCCTAGTCACAGCCTCCAGGGTTCCACGCCCTTCCTGCCTCTACTCCCTGCTATCGACCTCACTGGTGGTTGGGCCTCTGTCCTTCAGCCTCACTGCACGTGCTCAGAAGGTGGTGCTTTCTTCTTCATGCTACGTGACTTCCTACGTGTGTGGAGAACTTCAATTCACCCTCCACCTTCCTCTTGTAATGTTTTCACTTTTGGTAAAGCTTCTGCTAACCTCCCTTCTACCCCCTACCCCAACCTGACCCAACCTACAGATCTAGCCTTTCCCTCTGCTGTACCCCCATGGGAATTTGCAGTGACTTATTGCAATTGTTGTTGACCTGGCTGAGATAGTGTTTGTCAGGTTTCTCCATTATGAATTTACTCTTTCCCTACTTCCATAATTTGCTGAAGGAAGTCCCTGTGTAGCTCACGCTTAGGGAGCAGGTTAGCTGTACTATTCCTCCATGACAGCAGAGTGTGTACATACATTACAGTAAGTCCCTAAGTTACAAACTTAAATACAACTTGCACTTATGAACGGAAGTTATTTTACAGTACTTTACAGCAGGGGCTCCCCACTGGGCCACAGACAAAGCATACCAGGCTCGTCAAAAAGGTTACCAAACTCACTGAAAAGTTACTACACTCATGCTGATGAGGGGTGCCTGCCTCTTCTGGGTCTGGTTCCTAGTACTGTGTATCACAGGCAGGTGACTCTTGTTATTCTCATAACCCTATACACTGTCATATCACATTTTAAAATCAGTGACATTTTTGTCTTCACCCTGCAGTGATGCCTCCAAAACACAAATGTGATGCAAGTGCTGGTGGTATGGTAAAGAAAAGAAAAACCATCACCATGGAAAAAAAAGTAGAAATAATAAAGAGATCAGAGAGAGGTGAAACTCCGTCATCCATTGGCAGAGCATTTGCTTACAGTCGGTCAACAATTGCAACAATTTTAAAAGATAAAGGTAGAATAATGGAGCATGTGAAAGGCCATACCCCAATGAATGCTACGATTATTACCAAGCAACGCAGTGGTTTAATTATTGAAATGGAAAGGCTGTTGATAATTTGGATACAAGACCAAAATCAGCGTAATATGCCTGTCAGTCTTCCTTTAGTGCAAGAAAAGGCTCGAAGCCTTTTCAATGATTTAAAAGCTGCTCGCACAGCAAGTGAAGGTGATTGCAAGGAAGAATTTGTTGCAAGTAGGGGTTGGTTTAATCGCTTTAAAGAAAGGGCAAATTTGCGTAATATTAAAGCTCGAGGTGGAGCAGCAAGCACCAACGTACATGCTGCAAGTGATTTTCCCAAGACGTGGGAAGACAGGATTGACAAGGGAGGTTATTTGCCAGACCAAATTTTTAATGTAGATGAAACTGGCTCATTTTGGAAAAAAATGCCTGAGAAGACCTACATTTTGAAAGAGGAAGGAAGTACATCGGGACATAAGGCATCAGAGGATAGTCTGACTTCGTTACTTGGGGGTAATGCATTTAGGGAAGAAAACAGGGACCTAGAAACTCCAGAATCGAAAAAGTTTTCTACAAAAGAGTTAGCTGATGCTTTTCGTCTCATTGAAGCAGGAATGGCAAAGTTAGAAGAGCAAGATCCTGATACAGAGAGGTTTGCCAAAGTTTACTATACAGTTTCTGAAGGCCTGAGATGCTACAGGGCCATTTATGATGAGAAAAAGAAAAGCTCTGTGCAAACCTCCATTGATGCCTACTTCAAGAAACTGACGCCAGCAGCAGAATCAGACCCTCACTCTCTAATACCAGTTCCATCCTCTCCAACAAGTTCATCATCATCTACGTCAGTCAAGATTGTTGAAGGTTGTATTTGAAAACATTTTAAGTATATACAGAAATGTAAAAACACTAAGTTAAGACAAACATCTAGGTTGCATTTAAGAGGTAAATGTAACCCAGGGGCCACCTGTATTCTAAATTCTTTTGCATGGGACACTTCTTTTCTCCATTTATTTATAGGCAGGCCCCCAGTTACAATGAAACAGGTTCTGTAGGTTTGTTATGAAATTAAATTTGTATGTAAATTGGAACAGGTACATTTATCTTTCACCTGTAGTAGCCTCCGTTCATAAGTGTAAGTTAAGCTGGATGCTTGTAACTCGGGGACTGTAATTTCTTTATATCAGTATGGACTCATGGATATTTACTTTATACTTTAGGTTATCATCCAGTGCTAATCTATCTTGTTGCTGAAATGATTCCAGTTTTGGCATCCATTCGGAGCTCTTTGACTTGGCTCCTGTGTCCCTTTGACAAAGTCCATCATTATTTTTTTTTTCTTCTCTTTTTTAACAGTTCCTTACTATCTAGCACCACAAGATATTCCAGACTCATACTGTATATTTCCTGTCCCAGGCCTAAAATCAACTATTTGTCTAAGAAGTCCTGGTTCCTTTTATTGGGAGAGTGGTATTAGAAACAAAGATCTTGGGATTAGGTGTCCTCTCAGCACTCAAGTCACGTTTGACTTCTGCAGTGTATAAGAGGTACTCAACGTGACTTGTATTTATCTTTTGTTATCAGCACATATTGAGTATTACAATTTTAATACAGTTTTTTCCTTTGTTAAAATGTGACTTTTTTGGCATCCTCTATAGTTGGATTCATGTGTCACCTTTTGCATTCAACCCTGGCATCTCTGACTTCCTAATGAGTTTTTAAAATTTATATAATTAAGATTTAATTCTTTATACTATAAAGTTCTGTGGATTTTGTCAAACACGTAGTATTGTGTATTCACCATTACAGTATCATACAGAACAGTTTCACTGCCCTAAAAAAATTCCCCATGCTTTACCTACTCAACTTTCTCCCTACCCCAACCCCTGGCAGTCCCTGATCTGTTTACCATCTCTATAGTCTTGCCCTTTCTACAGAGTATTATAGTTAGAATGATATAGTACAATTAGTCCCTCGGTTACAAACAAGACAGGTTCTGTAGGTTTGTTCTTAAGTTGAATTTATATGTAAGTTGGAACAGGTACATGTACCTGTAATGACCCCCATTCATAAATTTGAGTCATCATTCAAATATTTGTAACGTGGGGACTTATTGTAATAGCTTCTATTTGTAAGTGCAAGTTGTACGTAAGTCCCACTCCGGGACTACCTGTCGATGGCCTTTGCAGGTTGCCTTCTTTCACTTAGTAGAATTATGTTTAAGGTTCATCTTTGTCTTTATGTGGCTAAATACCTTATTCTTTCCTGTTAACTGGATAGCCTTCCATCTCCTATTAAAGGACATCTTGGTTACATCCAGGTTTTGGTGATTATGAATAAAGCTGCAGCAAACATTTGTGTGCTGGTTTTTTTGTGCGCATAATTTTCGAATCCATCGAGTAAATACCTAGGAATGAGATTGGTGGGTTGCATGATAAGATTAATCTTGTTTAGCTTTTTAAGAAACTGCCAAACTGTCTTCCAAAAGTGGCTGTAAGATTTTGCCTTCTAAGCAGCAGTGAAAGTAAAAGTTCCTGTTATTTGATATCCTCACCAGCAATTGAGATTTTCATCTTTTTTTACCTGTAGCCACTCTATTTGTTACATGTGTATCTCCTTGTTTTAGTTTGAGATGTATTTTTTAAATTCTTGTATCACCAACATTAAGCAGAGTAGTTGAAAGAAGTAAGCACTTTATTATTTATTATTATTTACGTTGAAAGAATGAATTGCGGCTCGGCGCCTGTGGCTCAGGCGGCTGGGGCGCCAGCCAC